ATTGGAACCATTTGAATGTGGTTTATAAGTTAGATCATATTATTGTGTCGATGTTAAACGTCCTGAGTATGAGAATTATGCTGTGATGATGTAGGAGAATCTCCTTACTCTTAAGAAATGCCTACTGTAGTATTTGAGGTGAAGGGTTGTATTTAACAGGTTGCCCTGAGTGATGAACTACCCTATTCGCAACAGCAACCATTTATTTCACCTCTCATTCTATTTAGGCGCAGCTTACCTGGGTGCTTTCTCTGGTTTCAGCTGGGTTCTCTTAATCTCTCTCATGTGTCTGTGATGAACTGCAGGTCTACTGGGCGGCTCTGCTTCTGAGAATAGGCAGGTGTCAGCTGGGGCAACAGTGGTGACTAGGATCACTCCAGGAGGCTAGTCCTGGATTATCCACATGGCAGTGGGAAAGTTCCGATACAGAGGCGCGTGCACACACACACACACACACACACAGAGAGAGACAGACAGACAGATAGAAAGACAGAGAGAGAGATTGAGGGAGAAAGAGGGCATGTAAAGCTTATTGAAGCTTAACCACAGAACTGGTACAAAATCACCTCTGATGCATTTTGTTAGTGAAACTAAATCACAAGGCTTCCAGGGGTACAAAGCCAGCTTGTAAAAAGCCTGGAGACAATGGGGAGAAAACTGTGGTCATTTTAAACAGTCTACCACGAGGAACTACAGATGTTCATTCAATTATACTTGCAACTCTTCTATAGTTTTCAATTTATTTTGAAGCAAAAAGCTGGGGAGAGCAATAGAGGATGGCACAAGGAGCCAGACACAAAAGAGTATATACTGTAAAATTTGATGAATTAATTTTCAAAGGCAAATCAAATGTATGGTGAGAGAAGTCAGAACATTGGTAACTTTTGAGTAATTGGCTTCTGGGGTACTGGTAACATTCTGTTTCTTGATCTGCATAGTGAAAATTCCATTCGGCTATGCAGCCAGGATATGTGGTCTTTTCCATATGTACGGCGTACTTTAATTTTTGAAAGTTTACTTTCAGAAACAGAAAGCACGTTGGTCTTGGAAGTTAGGAAACCTGGGCTCTTGTCCTGATGCTGCCACCAAGTCCCTGTGCAATATTGAGAATGTCTATTTAATTTTCTGGGCCTGTTGCCTCATCTGTAAAGGAAGCTAAATGAACTCTGTGGAACCCTCCCAACATCTAGACTCCAAGATTTAATTCTGACCAAATAGTTTGTCCTCTTTTTTGCCTGGAAATTACAAAACCTTGTAATTATGATGCACTTTTCTCCCCTAGTTATAACATGTGCCTGAGATTCTATTGTGCTTTCCAGAATTTGCACGGAAATAATAACAACAAAGCAAACGCAATAAAGGGGTCTCTTTTCAATGCAGGTGGGAACTATAAGGGTTGACTATTTGCAGAAGAGGTCACTGGAGGAGCAGGTTATTATGTTTTAACATCGCAACAGAAATGCAGTAAAGGAATCTGGCATGTTAGGGAGAATCATCAGGAATCCTTCCAAGAAGCGGGTCCTATTTCACCACCGCTCCAGCCTTGTCCTGGGGAAAAATAGCACTCCCTCTGGATAGTTTCTTGACCCCCTCCGAAACTCACGTATTTGGTGGTCTCTTGGACTCTTTGTATAGCGAGGGGCTTTTAGCATGAAGTGAAAAGAGCCACAGGTGTCCCCCTAGTCTTCCTAGGTTTTGTGTGTGTTGGCGGATAGGGAAGTGCAACGTTGCTGGCAGTCCAGGTGTCCCACAAGCCTAGCAGCTGCTTTCAGGGGTGGAGACCCTAGAAGCACCTCTGACTGTGGTGATTTTCTCACTTCTGAGCATTGTGACCCCTTCATAGTTCAAAGGAGAGGCTCTAATAGAACAACACTTCAGGCTTTCTGTTTGTTTGTGTTTCCTTGAGGGCTTCCAGTTTACCTCTAAGGTTCCTCGGAGTTCCAAATTTCAACAGTTTTCTACAAGTTTCATTCACTGAATAGATATTTATGGAGTATTTACTGTGTGAATTCAGAAGTGAATGAGGCAAACAAGTGCCCTGCCCTCATGGACAGAATGTGGAGTCCCGTATCCATCAGACCTAGAGACCCAGAATGACTTGCTTTTTCCTCCACGTGAGAGTGATAGTTGAACTTCACAACAGCCTGAGAGTACACATTCTCAGCCCCAATTTACAGATGAGGCAGATGAGGGAACTGAGACTAGGGAGATAAAATAGTAAGTGAAGTCCGTCTGACTAATTCCTTCATATACAGCCTCTAAAACAAACAAGGTGGTGAGGTTGTGCTAGTCCCTTAGGACAGCGGTTGACAAACTAAGTCATGTGGTCCAGCTGCCTAGCTGTACACATGAAATTTTATTAAAACACAGCTGTACCCATTCCTTCACGTATTTTCTGTGACTGCTTTCCCACTGCAACACCAGAGTTGAGTAATTGCAAAAGGGACCTTGTAGCCCACAAAGACAAAAAAAATTTGCCATCTCGCCCTCTAAGGAAAAAGTTTGCCATCCCTCCAGCCTCAGAACATTGCCCCCTAGTTAGGGTAATGAAAGTTCCTGGAACAAACCACGAAAGTTTAATGGCTTCACACATTTTTTTTAAAAAGTTTATTTCTCAATTACACAACAGCCCAGCCAGGGTGTTCTTGGGCAGATGTAGGGGTCAGGTAGGGACTCTGTTCCAGAGACCCAGACTGATCATTGCTCTAGGGTCACCCTGGGCAAAAACATCCAGCCAGCAGACAAGGGTAAAAAAGAAAAGATCATGCACAGGAAGTTTTTCTGGGCTAGATCTGGAAGGGACACACATTAATCCACCCATATTCCATTGGCCAGAATTCAGTCACATGCAAAGGGTACCGAGAAACGAAGTGTACTAGAATGCCCGGGAAGAAGAGGAAACAGGTTTTTGTGAACACAGAGCAGCCTCCACCACAATCCCTAAATTCTGATCATTCTTACACCCAGAAAAAGTCTCTGGCTGTGACTTCTCAAATCTGTTTTAAAGCTCAGATTCAATATGCCTGTGTTTAAAAAACAGTGCTTAATTGAGCCCTTACCTTTTTGAGATGCATACTGAAATATGTACATATGAAATTACATATCATGAATTTGCTTAAAATAATCTGAAAGGGAGGAAATGTATGAAAATATTGAGAATACAGGTAAGACAAGATTGGCCATAAGTTTTGTTGAAGCCAGCTTATGAGTATGAAAGGATTTATTATATTATTCTCTTTCCTTTCGTATATATTTAAAACTTTCCATACTAAAAAAAAATTAAGGATTACATTGAAACTACTATTTGCTATGTTGCACCAATCTTTAGCAAAATAAAATAAAAAAACAATAAAATCCTGGTCATAATAGGCCACAAGGTTCTCTGCAATGATATTAACTACAGGTGTTCTGGCTTATTCATTTCTCTTCCTTCCTTAAAATATTCCAGTCAAATAAGCCTGCCTGTAAGATAAATCGGACTAATAATGAAAGACAAATTCTATGTGAGAATAGTACAATCAAGAGGCAGAATAGCTATCAAAATTAATGTCAGACACCTAGAGTACAAGCACTCTAAGGAAAGGTAATCTATTAACTGGGGCATAAACAAATACCAGATTTGTTACATGCATTTTTAAAACACTGATTGAGCAATTACTCTGTGCAAGGCATTGTCTCAAAGATTATACTTGTCAGGATGGGTACTATTCTACCAGCTGCTGCGCACACATCCCCACATCACAACGTCTGTGAATAAAGTTTTCTCTCACTTGTGCAAGGTTCAATGCAGATATTCCTCGTCCAATTGTTCTCTTTTGAGCAGTAACTCAATTTGAGTTCCTTTCACCTCAGAGTCCTTTGCCATGTAGAAAGGAAAGAGAGGGCTGGGCACGTTGGCTCATGCCTGTAATTCCAGCACTTTGGGAGGCCGAAGCGGGTGGATCATTTGAGGTCAGGAGTTTGAGACTAGCCTGGCCAATAGGGTGAAGATCTCTCTCTACTAAAATGTACAAAAATCAGCCAGGCATGGGGGCAGGATTCTGCAATCCCAGCTACTCAGGGAGCTGAGGCAGGAGAATCGCCTGAACCTGGGAAGCAGAGGCTGCAGTGAGCTGAGATTGCACCACTATACTCCAGCCTGGGCGACAGAATGACTCTGTCAAAAAAAAAAAAAAAAAAAAAAAGAACGAGTGAAAAAGAAAAAAAAAAAAAGGAAAGAGAGAGTGTGTGCAGATAATCACTCAGGATGTTTTATGGTCAGACCGGGAAGGAAAAAAGCTCTTCACAGTCCAAACCTAGACCCAAGTACACCTAGAAAATGTCTCATAGCCATGAACCCAGAAAGAAACTCGATACTGGGATGGAGGTGATGGAGGTGGGGAGTTGGAGGATGCTCTGAAATGTTCTACCACAAAGGTGATCCCAATCAAGGTCTAGTGGGCAGACAGACATGCAGACACAAGTGCCCCAAGTGTCATAAAATCAATAATAAACATATGGATAGGGTGCTCTGGACACTCTGCTGAAGGAGGTAGGATTTTAAAAATTTTTATCAGCTATTGATACAATTTCATAAATGTGCTTGAAACTTAATTGGCTTAGTCTATTAAATTTTTAATTATTTTTCCACAAAAATTGTAAGCCCGTGTTCCCTAACTCAAAAACAGAGCCCTGCTGGCAAGCCTGGTTCGGCAAGTGGAATCATAGAGCCCGGGTGTTTATCAATACTCGTTATGTGTGCTTACTGGAACATAAACTCACCTGGAATGGGGATCTCTCAGCGTGAAGGGATTTTAATAGGATTCATTCATACATTTGTTCAACATTTTATAAAGACATCTGTCCCCAAAATTCAATTTACAATTTTTACAACATTTTACAAAGACTTTGATCTCCAAATCTCCATTTACAATTTCACAAGAATTTACATTCATTGCAAAGGTTTCTTTCCAGAGTTTTTTAAAGGTCATTTTTTTTCCTTGGGTCCAAAACTGTTACTTTCAGATGAGAGGAGAGGCAGCTGAGGCTTACATGTGGAGACTGTGTGTGATGAAAGGGCAGGACACAGCGGCCCCGGATCCTAATTCAGACCAGCCTGCCTCTGGCAATAGGAAAGTCATTTGTTCCTGCGAGCCCTATCATAATCTGGCACAACTGGAGGTTAGAACCATCCTTAAAACTCTTTGGCTATGGGATTCTAGTTTGCCATCTTAATTTATATATTCTATTTCGGCGCTGATTCTCCAGCCCTTTCCCTTTTAAGTGATCCTAATTAGAAAACACACAGGAGGATCCTTCCAGGATTTAAAGGCTGCTGGGATCCCCTCTTTGATCTCCCATCTGAACTACCCTGGACGGTTATTGTTTCACGTTCCCCCCCCTACTCCCCCCGACCCGCACTCCAGTGACAATTATTGGCATTTTAGAGCCTAGAGATAGAAATAAGATGTCTGACAGGCCCGGCTGCCTACAAATCCAAAGCAAGTACCCCTCCAAACATCTCCCCTCTTCCCTCGCACCTCCCCCCACCCCAAAAAACAAAAAACTGAAAAGGAAAAGATATAGCAGACTCTATGAACAGCTGCCAATTTATTAATAAGATGCTGGAGTTAGTTAGAATTTTAAAGACGCTTCAGGCATCTTTAAAGAGGCAGCAAGCCCTTCCTCTCCCGGGCACAAATAAGTCCAAGCAACAGACCCTACCTTAACCATCGCTATTTAAATTCTGCAAAGTGCCGCGGTGACCGGAGGAACCTTCGGAACCGAGCAAGGGTTTGCCTTAATATGGATAATACTTGGTTGAGATGCCTTGGGAGAACTCGAAAGCCGTTGAATTAAGAATCTTAAATCTTTCTAGGGCTCGGAGGAGGAAGGTAGGAAATTGGGGAGGGGGGAAGGGAGGCGTGCCGTCAAGAAAGTGTTGCTTATTTATTTAATTTCATTCACCAAAGGAGAATTCAGAGGCTCCATCCCGGAGGCACTGGCGTCCGGGACGCGGGAAGGGCTTGGAAATGTGCGAAGCGGATGTGTGCGAAGGCATGGACTAGGTCCTGGCTCGCAGGGAGGGAAGGGCTGGGCTGGCGCTGGGGAGGAGGAAGGGAGGGAACGGGTAGGAGGCGGGGAAGCGCAGTATAAAAGGCCCGGCCGGACCGAGAGTCCGCTACTCTGAGCCACTTCGGTAAGGCGGGAGGCCGAGCAAGATCTAGGAGGGAAGCGCGCGGTGCCACGGACGGACCCAGTTCGCTCTAGCATCCGACGCTAGGACTCTGCGCCCTCAGCCCCATCCCGGAGCCCTTCCATTCGCCAACCGCCCCCTGCAAAGCATGAGCCGCACGCGGGAGCCCGAGGCTGCAGCGCGGCCATGAGGTGGTGGCCCGGGATCGACGGCTGCGCGACGCCAGCCCCCAAATCCCCTCTGGTCGCGGCACCCCCGGGATAAGCTCCCTAGACGCAAGCCCGCTAAAGCCGAGATTCACTCCCAGTTCCTGAGCGCCTGAGCCGCGGGCCCTGAGTCCCTGCAGCTTCCGGCCAACACCTGCGCCGGTCGCCAGACGGACGCCCAGCGAGTTGGACTCCCCTCCCTTCCCAGGCTCTACGGGGCGCCGCGGACCCGCGAACAGCCGCGCCCGGCTAGCGGGCGGCCCAGCAAGTGTCAAGACCCTTCGGAAGGATACTTTGGCACTCCTCTCCTTCCCCGACTGCTTCAGGCAGGGATCGCACGCAGACACCTGGCTTATCCGGCGCCCCCTCCGTTTTCCATCACTGCAACTCCAGCTCCATTTTGCAATAAAAGTTTCTAAAGCAGCCCAGGCACCATCCCACCCACCCACAGCCCCGAACCTCAGTGAGCACAGGGGCTCTACCCGCGCCCCCCACAGCGACCTCAGCAGTGGGCACTTGGTACAGCCCGGCAGGCGGACGCAGACGCCGAGGGCGCCCCGGATACCCCCAAACCGTGCCAACCTCGGTGTGCCCGGGGCCCCCATCTGGAACCGGCCCT